AGTAGGAGAAGGAGGAGGAGTAGTAGTCGTGGTGGTGGCGGTGGTGGTGGTATTGTAGTAGTGTAACAATGGTAGCAGTAGATGTACATGTAACACTTGGAGTAGGAGCAAGCGCATGGGGAGGACCCGGAGCAGGACCAATACTTGTGGCAGTTGCAAGAGCAGGAGGAGCAGTACTAGTGGTCGTCCTACAACTCGCAGTAGTACTAGCCTTCCTGCTCGCTGCAAAAGCAACAGGGCTTTCAAAATGCAAGACACAACAAACCAAACAAAATGTTACAGCTAAGGATGCTACCTGATCAATAGAACAACGCCCACGGATGAGCCTTGCAACATTGCCGCCGAGTAGCCCTCCAATTAAAGAAGAAGTGACCCTCGCCAGGGAAAGTGACCAGTTTACAGTCACTGCCCGTAGTTTCCATCCTTGGCAGGCGAGCTGCGGCGAGCTTGGCAGCGCAGCTCGATCGCTGCTTGCGCCAAGCTGCCCGCGCTGGAAGCCCTGCACCTCCTCGATCGGCACCAGGTGGTCAGCCGTGCCATGAAGAATGAGCGTGGGCTGTGACAGCTGACCTGAGGTTGATGCATTTGCCCCGATTTTCTACGAGCCAGAACCCTTTATCACCTCACACAGCTCACAGCCCCAGCAGGTGTCGGCTTGTCACCAGCCTTCTGAGCTCCCAGCGCACCCGATGGATGGGTGAACCAGCCCGCAGCTGCTGCTCGCCATAGCGCCATCGCAGCGCTAAGCTACCTAGCCAAGTTGCAAGCCGTCTATCGCTGAAGCGCTGCGTGAACTCCAGATCGAGCACTGGGTTGAAAAGAACCAGCCTTGGTGTTTACGACACGTCTTTGTTTGCGGCCGACATCCTACCATTGCGGGAGCATGGTTGTGTAATTGTGCGTGGTTGCGACAGGGCACCCTGCTAAGCCCAGATTCTCGCGGAGAGCCGCCATGGCGGCCGTGTGGCCTCCGCTTGAGGCACCTGAGTTTGCAGCGCGCACCATACGAGTAAAAGATGGCCGAGCAGTTTTGTGCTGATATCGCTGGGCCTGCCTTAGTCTTCTGCCTCTTGGTTCTGCTTACCCGTACGCTGCTTCTGCTTCTCGATGCCTGTGCATGCAAACCTGCGACAGCCTAAGGTCTTCGCAAGGTAAGGTGAAGATTTTGAAAGACATCGCAATGAAATCTTGGCAGGACACGGATAGGAGTTGGACAGGGTGTGCGACAGGTGTGAAGTGGACTTGCGTTTGCGCATTGCTCGAGTGGTGTTGATTCATGCTGAAGCCAGCATCAAGCAAAGCAGAGGGAAGGTAAGAGATGACCGATCTCCGAATGTGATGCCAGTGCTTCTATGTCCTTCTCCAGTGTGATTCTGTCTGATGTGCGCAAAGAAGAGTGCGTGTGCATCTGTCATGGCGCGCCCTACACATCGTTTCCTGCGTAAGACCAAGACCTGCCAAGACGATCTTCTCCCGGTCGATCCCCATCTTGTCCGCGTTCTCTTGCAGGTAGTGCACGCAACGCTGGGCATCGTCGATGCTGTCGAAGGGCACCTGAAGCGCTCAGGTCGCACAGATCTGTCGACAGATCAACAGCCCGGCAGTCTGGCCTTAGAAAACGGATGCGTCAGGAAGCAGCTTACCTCGCAGCATGCGGTGGAGATGCCATACCGGCGCGATACCTCCTGAAGTCGCAGTAACCAGCTGCAGTCGCCTAAATTCTTTCCTGACAGCGGTCCTTCGCATAAGGATAGAACTGCGAAGGTGCTCCCCCGAGGAAACCACCTGCAACAGCTTGGGAGCGGCTTGGAGCCGATATCGAAGCTGAACTGTAGCAGTGTCTTCCTCTCACTTGGGCACCTCCATGCACGAAGACCATGCAACCTTTCTTGGATGATTGATCCTCTTGCGGTAGGAAGTGTAAGGAGAGGCCATTGTGCTCAGAGTAGCTGTGCACCTGCACCGGGGTTCTCACTCCTGACACAGATAATGATCAATCTATCGTTCAGCTACCCCTTTCAGTGCCGGCACAGACTGAATCTAAGAGACCCTCTGCATCCTCAGCAGGAAGGGGGCTGACTTGCAGCGGTAGGCAAGTCTGAAGGGAAACGGGTCCCACAGTTCGAAGTTGCTTCTTTAGTCTTCAGGTGTAGATGCCACTTGTGTCCAGTCAACAACTGCACAACTCGGCCCCGCCTCGCCGCCCAAAGTTGACACGAAGCGCTCTGCGATGTACTTCCTGCAAGTGCCGAGCTGCTAGAAGTCTTGTGCTTGCAGCTCGCATATGCTCGCATAGCTCGCTGTGTCCTCAGGAAAGCACCCGCGACGATGCCGGGAAGCTTGTCCAGCCAGGGGTCTCCCAAGGCCCCGCTGCAGGAGTCCATTGCTTCTCAGAGTACTTAGCCTTGGCACCTAGCAGCTGACCTGGCGGACCTGGTTCTTACGTCTAGGGATCCCTCCGTGCTGACATCTCCATGTTCGCATTCTGCAAGTTTGTGGAAGAAACCTTGTAAGGAAGTAAGATCAAGCATGGGAGCAAAAGCCTCGAATGCCGTTCAGCAGTGTAAAGCTCCCCCAAGATAGCAAACACCGGAAACAACGCAAGAGCTTGGATGGACCAGTGGAGCTGTGGAAGGCGGGACCGGCCTCGGCTGAACGTTGCAGGCAATGCGGTGCACTTGGACAATCGTTTACTCCGGTGCTGCGTCTGCTCGAACCAGCTGCAAGAGGAACTGCTGAGGTCGTGGCTTGCCCTCAGGACGGTGCCCGCCATGGCCAGGCTTCCTGAGCGAGTTCCAAGATTCCCGAGACACTTGTCCAGATAAGCACTTGTCCGAGCAAGTTCTGAAGGCTGCACACCCGTGTCATCAGTTTAACGCTACCATACATGCTGAGATCTCGAGCTCTTCCCAGAACTGCATCAGTTCCTGAAACGCTGGTCAGGACAAGACGGAATCACAAGTTGAAACACAGACGCGAAGGGAAACCCACTGCCCTTAGATTCATGCCGGCTGGCCTCCTGCAAGCTGAACATACCCATGATCCGGACGCAGGCTCCGAAAGTCGAAAGCTATTTCTCCAATGCTTCTTGCTTCAATGTGCTGCACCTCGTGTCGCACTTCTCTGACATGGCTGTGAGCCCCGGTCGCGGGTTTTGGGTACTTTGTCGACAGCACCTCTCGGGTAACAGCGGCGATGTGGAAGAGGATCTCTGCAGGAAGCTCACCCTTTTCCTTGCATTCACGAATCCGTGCTAAAGTCTGCCAGCTTCCTGTGAGCCGGAGCGCTTTCAAGCAAAAGACCAGTTCACATACCCAGCTCGTTCTGCAGATGGCTCATCCAGGTGCGGGCCACATGTCCACAGAGACGAGGGCGTGGACGTCGATGGCCAGTGAAGGCGCAATAGGCATCCAGGTGCGTCCACGGGATGCTGCTGCGTCGCGGCTTTAGTTCATGCAATCAGTCGTCCTTCCATCCCGTCAAGCGCTGGTGCTTGTACACGGCATCCCTGAATCGAACGGCATATCCGTTCTCTTCGATGCCCATTTCTTCTTGCATGTCAATGTCTTCCTGTATCTGCTTGGTTGTGCGACCAATTTTGGTATAAGACTTCCGATGCCAGTGGACCTGCACGCAGGAACCTTCCACTTTGTATGTCCCAAACAGCGTTATGCCGACATACTTGAAAACAGCATTTTGCGTTTCGTTGCTGAAGAAGCAGAGCTCATCTACTCGAGCGCTGGTATGATACAGCCCCATTGGCATCTCGGTGCGAGCAGGGTCCCCTGCAGAGCCTGAATCGACCATGATGCAAAGCCAAGCCGGCGAGTCTTTGCTGTCAGCGATCTGCAGAACTCAAGTCGAAGTGTTTTGTGCTTCGTGTGTGTATACCTACTGTGTGTGTGTGTGTATGTATATGTATGCGTGTGTGTGTGTGTGTACATATATATATATATATGTATATCTATATCTATCTATCTATACATTTACATGTACATACTTACCTATCTATACCTATCTATCTACCTACATACCTACCTACCGACCTGCCGACTGACCGAATGACCAACCTACCTACCTACCTGCTTTCCGCATACAAACATACACAGGTATGTAGGTACAGAAGAGCAACACGTATACCCACTTGTAGCTAGTGAGGGAGGCTCGTTGACTCAGCACATAGCAGAAACTGCGGAGTCAGTCGCTCAGGTGACATGCGCCAAAACTGTCAGGCCACTACCGGAAGCCAAGCACACACGGCTTATGCAACCTCGCGAAAACTCAGGACGAACCAAACGTCAAGTGGAGATCTGTTGAAGACACGGGCCCACATCTTGAGCTCAGATTTACAACTCTCAAACCTCAAACTCGCCTCAAGAAGGTTCTAAGGCCTCTATCTTTTGACGTCTCTGCAGAGGGCAGGCTGACATGATGAAGTACTTGCTCTCAACACAGGCACACTTGCCTCAAAGCCTCCGTCACAGTCTGCACATGAACAAATGCACCCGAACCGATCTGAAATTGAAAACTCCTTTCACAAAACTCCGCTGGAACATGACTGTGAATGCCTTATGTTTTCCCTTCCATGAGTAGCTGTATGTCAGAAAGCAATCAGGCCACCGATGACTCCCAATGACCCACGTAGACCGCTTCTTAAAACTTTTCACGAGCCTTTGATCACTCTGATCCACAACTATCCTACTACCCATAGAGGCTTGCAGAGCAGCAATTGTGTTGCGCTCTGCTTCGGAACCAGCAGGTGGAGCGGCGCTATTCTCGCCAGGCTCAAACCGTGCATAGCATGTCTGGCCAAATCCGACGAATTCTTCTGCAGCATCATGCATGTCTCCAGGAAAAGCTCGGCCGGCTTCTCGTCAAACACCGAGGCCCGGAAGGTCCGGACCCACTCCCCAACAAGGTCCGGATGCAAGTTGCCAGGGCAGCACCTCACCACAGCGAAGGGTCCGGGAAAACAAGTCCAGCGAAACGGCTCCCACCTCGTCCGACAGCAGTGCACCTAGCTCCTGCCGACCGGGCACAACGAAAAACTGGTCAAGATCCCGTGTCACTTGCATCCTCGTCTGTCAGCTTCCAGAACTGGTGCTGGGCCTGACATGCCAGCGCTGTGATGTTCAGCCTTTCCGGTTGGTGCCAATCCAAGTTTTGTCAGTAAGCTCGACATAGCATGCTCCACTTACAAACAGGCAAACACAATGTTGAACAGACGTGCTGTTGTGTAGCATCCAAGATTCACCGCACCTGACACCCATTGGCGAATGGCTGCCGTATGTTGGCTTGTGGATGCGCTCCATCACTGCCTGACCCTGACTTCGAGAAAAACGATAGATTCAGGTGTTCTGCAAAGAGCCAGTGGTAGGGCCACGAGTGCGGCACGCCCTCACGGTCAGCAAAGTGAAACAAAACATGGCAAGAACCCACAAGACGACAGCGCCTGTAAGCTAATGCTCTTGCACGCGCCTGTACAACAGCAGTCACAAACATTGCTTCAGGGGTCTTGTACAATAGCATGGCTTTTTTTTGCGAAAATCTACTAGGGGTAAGCGACATCGTAACAGATGTATTCTCGGCTCTGACGTGCTCTCAGTTCACACTCGGCCCGGCCTCTGAAGATGTGCACCTCAAGCCATATGATCGTGTCCGACGACAAACATCAACTTCTCAAAAAACAAGTCATGCACCTACGAGCCGATGAGTAGCTCCAGCTGCTGTATGGTATGTCGACCTACAGCCTCTCAAGCAGCTGCTGTTCTCCGGTGAAGGCCAATGGCCCCCTTCAGGACAGAGCTCTAGCAGCAGCTCGACAAACAACGGCATGTGCAGGACTGGAATGTCTCAACTCTCAGCTTGGCTGGACTCAGGGCAACACCAAGAGCTGCCCTGCAAGAACTTTCCGAATCCACCTCGGAACATCAGTCTTGTCTTGTTACGAAAACTGTTACATGTTTCATGAAACCTTGTCAACTGAAAACCCAACTAGGTCCACAATTTCATACTGCTGTTGGCCAGTGAATCCCTAGAAGCCTTTTTTTTCTGCAAACAGCTCCTTTGCCTGCCCCTGCCCCTGCTTCATCTCTCGGGCCCCAGCTCGCTCTTGCAGGCTGCGATGTCATCCCCAAGGCCTCACTATAATAGCAGTAATAATAGTTATAATAATAATAATAGTAATAATAATGTTAACAATAATTAAATAAGGAAACAATAATAATGATAATAATAGTCGTAATAATCTACCCGCCCTTCCAGCAAATACCCAGCAATCATTTGGAACAGCAAGTACTGATGTTCTTTCTGACGTTCTTTCTGTCCCTCCTGGTCCCTCGTCCGTTACCTAAGGGGGCTCAGGGCCTTCGATCCTCGAGACACCCGTGGTGTTCGCAGCGATCCGTGCTACATTCTCAAATTGCAGACCGCAGCAAGAGCACAACATGATGGTGAGCGCATGGGTTCGTGCCGTGCCCACACAAAGTCCTTCGAGCCGCCTCCCGAACCACTCTACACATGAGCGCACTCTATAGGTCGTAACGTCGCTTACCGCCTCGTTAGAAAGTGTTGCTTCAAGCTACTTAAAGCTATTCAAAGCTCCACATGTGGGCAGCAAGCAGCATCAATTTGGCTGTCTTGTTGCCGGGCCATGTAGATCACAATCGACCTGAGATGCTGAGACAGGCCAGCTGAACCCTGACAAAAACCCAATTTTATGTCGGCGAAGCTGTGTCGGACGATGATCAGATGTAGATCTGCTGTTCTGTATGCGTGAACGGCGAAGCATTGCCTGGAGGTGAGGTCCTCTGAGGGTTGGACCAAAGTGCCTCGGAGTCGTGAAGTGCAAATTCACGACAGCATTGCGCTCATTTGAGGGGAGAGCTCCACAAAGGCACATGCATCAACCCGTTTGCTAATTCTGCCGTAAGAGTAGCTCATGAGCACAAAATCTCTCCACCAGGCCGGCAAGCACGTGCTGACTTGCGCAAGCAGCACCGACGATGTTATGTCGAACACGAAATCTTGCTGTGACATTTCAGGGAACGAAACAATGAGTTTGCTGCAAGTCAACTTCTCAGGCACTCCTTTGAGGAGACCTCGGCTGGGGAGGACATTTACAAGTCTGGCACAAGTCTGGAACGAGGAAACATTCGGGGAAAATCGTGAACCCCACTCCTCTGCTGAGTGCTCAAAGCATGCTCAAAGACGTGAGCGTTCTCTCAAAGTCGGTGCTCTTTCTGGAGGGAGAGCGCAGGCTGTAAGATCCAGAAAGGGAAAATGCTCACGCTTCCATATAAACATTCAACCAGCATGGCGAGTTGTAACTACTCTTGTGGCAGGCTCGCATGCCTGACTATGTGATTCGAGTCGGTGCCCGTCATACTTCCGGGTCCAGCATCCTGAGAAGCCAGAAATCACAGAGACAAGACCGTCAAGACCAAAACCAAACCCATCGGCACTGACAAAAACCGAGCGACGGCTCGTCTGAGACCGGAGGCCGCCGCTAAGTGACAGCGAACGCGGTCACACCCGGACCTGGCACTCGACTCGTCTCTAGCACACATCTGCTGTGCCCTGTCCACATCTGAAGCCAAATCAGTGCCCGAGGAACGACATGTGCAACCCACACAGAAAGCAGGGCTGCGGAGGCAAACGCAGCTGCGAGAAACGGCAAGGCTGCTTCAAAGCCCCCCTCCTGACATGGCAGGAACATCTGAACACACTAACATATCATGTGAGGACCACTTCTTGCTAAGTGCAATTGCAAAGAGTCCTCGCGCAAGGCACCGATCGCAACCGTAACGGTGGCCTGTATGGAAACGGATCTTCAAAAGGTCACGCCTCAGCCTCACATGTAAAGCCTCAGCAAGGATCAAGATCATGTCAACAAATCAACTTGGGCCGCTTGTCGCGACCTGGCCCAAACCGTAGAGGGAATCGAGCAGGCCGAAGGACTTGCCACAAGATCCTCAGAGCAGCATCCATCGAACTTTGAACCAAGTAGTGACTAAGTAGTGGCTGTAAAGGTTCATCTTGCATGTTCTACCCGTGACCGTTGCCAAGCAACGGCTGTTGGCCGGGACCAGTACCAGCGGTAACACCGGCATGACTGTAGCCGCAGTAGCAATGGCCAGGAGACCTCGCCGGATGTGCTTTGACTGTGCGGCAAGCCCTTCGTCACTCTTTCGGCCTGTTTCGAGAAGCAATGAAGGCGCGGCCAGCAGTGCCAAAGTACCGAAAAATGGTAGCAAAGAGATGACCTGACGAAGCCACGACAGCAGCTCACGGAGCTTCGGCAACGCGGGAACAACACACTTGCTTGGTTTCCGGCCACTAGCATGACGCGCAACCCGATGAAATATCCGGAGAAAGCTACCAGTGGCATCAAAAGCCTCGGCACGGCACAGCAGGCAGGCCCCGCCAAGAGCAAGCACCTCCCCTGTGGCGAAGTCTACTCAGTCTACTCTTTCCAATTGCCAAAGCAGAAGCACATGTACAAAGTGCTGGAGCTGAAACCGAACGAATTTGTCGCCTTCTGAAAAAGAAAGCAGGGTACAGTGCGATCATCTGGTTCACTGCAACGACTGATCCGGCCTGCAACGGGACAGCAGCAGTGAGACTTTGCAGGTGCAGTGCTTTGCAGAAGTTCTTGTATAGGGTTTACAGTTTCGCAGCCACCTGCTCAAACCTCCCCTGCTACCAGTACAATGATTCACGGCCCTTGCCTCTTTGTGATTCCTGCCTGTGGAAACTAGCAAGTCGTTGGTGAATGACCTTGTTCGGCGGCAAAGTCGTGAAGGCAAGCATTAATTCCACAATTGCCCTTCCCACATGCTACAAACTTTCCAAGACTCGCGCTGGAACGCGTGAAGCACTCCCAGCAGCAGACCGCGCCATGTGCCCAGCAGCCAGATCGCCTTCTCCGACTGCAGCTTCTCGTGTCCGCAGTTGCCGCAGCAATCATAGGACGCCTGCAAGGGCGTCCCCGCACCGCCTACACAAGCCAAGGCTTGACATGTGCAGGCAAGAAACAGACATGGTGCAGGGAAGCGCCCACACGCGTCCTGGGAGTCCACAATGACTGTGGCCGCCAGTGCTCACCACCAGAACATCGATCCACCCCGCTTGTCTTTGCTCTGTAGGCAGGCGTCAGCATCTTAATCAAACCCCTGGGGCAGCTGCCTGCCAGGCCATCATCTTAGACGCATTGGATGTATCCAGTCTCAAGAATGCGACCTGACTCTTCTGAGTGCTGAAACCCAGGCTTCATTCTCGAGGCTGAGTCCATCAAGCCGCCAGGCCAAAAAGCTTCGCTTCTTGCCGACGGAAGACAAAGGGTAGGAGTCACAGGGCTTGAAGCATGAAATGGTCCCCATGCCTCAAAATGTAGACCGCACATAGAAGCGTGCCTTCCAGATGTTCGGGAAAGGACTGCAAGACTGCTGCTAGCTGCTGGAAACTCCGACATGACAATCACGTGTCATTGCTTTAGCTAACAAGTACCGCTACACTGGAGAGCCCTCCTTCTGATTTTTAGCACGGTCTGAAACGTGTTCATCACGAAACTCGCCGAACAGAGTTGCTCAGATGCGCCTCATTTGAAACGTGTGAGTCACTGTGTCGCTCTGAACTGACCAAACTCGGTCCTCTGCACTTGTTGGCTGATCACGCTGTGCTTGCTGGCAAGCAGGCTTCAAGCAATCAACTGGTCAGGCCTTTTGAATTCTGTATCTCGCCAGCTGTTCATGCATGGAACAGAAAGAAACACGGAGAGACAACGAAAGTTCATCCCGGCCGATTCGCTGGTACCTGTGCCGGAGTCTCACCATCTGCAGCGTCACGGTTCCCTTGTGGGGCGGCGGCTTGAGCTTGAGCTTGAGCTGCAGGACCCGGGCGACCCGGGGTTATCACGACTCTCTCAGTCAGCCGCGAAGCCCTGGAAGAGTTGCCTTTCACAAGAACACTTGGAGGCTCGAGTGCGAGAGCAGCGGCCAAGTTTCGCTGCGCAGTCCAGGGTTCCATTCGGAAAGACAGCACGCAGCTCGACGGGTGATGCTCTTCACTACTTCCCAGCACGCCCTTGATCCGAGAGTGCTGCGGGTACACAGACCTCAACTAGCTACACCAGTGCCCCAGCGGAAGAGCTCCACTCCGCAGACCGTGACATGTCATGCCAAAGTCTCCACGAAGTCCTGGAGACTTTTGAGCAATCTCTTGCTCAATCTCCGCTTCCGGGTCATCCTCGTCGAGGAGCGGAAAGCTCAATATGCTGGGACTTGGACTCAAAGTTCGCATCCTTAGTCCCCAGATTCAGATTCCTCCTCTGCAAAACCTCTTGTCCAAGAAGCTCGACTGCTACTTCGGAAAGAAGCGCAGCGGTTCCATCCCCCCTGAGCCAAAGGGCGGAGAGCGCGGCACCGGCTCCCGCCCCCAGCAGCAGGCCAAGCAGGAGGCCGCGAAGACCTGAGCAAAAGCTGTTTTAAGCGACGAGGTAAACTCCGCTATATCCGCTCAAGTCAAAGTATCCGGAGACGCTTCTGACTCCAGGTTTCTAGAAAGCGCAAAACGGGTCGTTTCCTGAAGACTTTCCAGTCAGCTTCATGCTGAGGGTCGAGCGGAGACTGCATTCGGCAACAGAAGGGTAATTTGCAGGCCTATCAATCCGGACCTGTCCAGAACCTTGGCAAGACGATGAACACGAATAACCGGAGCGGCACAAAGCTCTGCTCTGAGAAGCCCTACGAGTATCAGCCAGAGCAGAGGGTACACGCTGCGACCGGAGGGCTCGCGGAACTGTCCAGTTGCATATCGCCACGACGACATGCCCGAAGAAGATCATGACCACGAAACTCAAGAGAAGCCTCGACACAGGGATGTCCCGCGGTCTCGGGTGCTTTTGTGGATCTGCGCGGGTGTTGGCAGGCAGTCCTGCCCCGAGGCATGCATGCACAGCACGCGGAAAGAAAGGCTGAAGGAGTGCACGGCCGTTGGTGCACGGATGGCAAAGTGAATGCGGGCCATATCAGTGTGTAAAGAGTGCGAATCAGCTGAAGGAGCTTTCGCTCGCCAACATCTTGCAAACAAACTGGCCACAATAAGTGTTTGCCACCAAACTCTTCACCACATGCCGTGAATTGGAAATCTCTGTACATCGCGGGAGCAGACCGTCGTTTTCCCGGTTGGGAAAAGTCTGCCGCCCGAGTGACTCGTGTGCTCAAGTGTCACTCCAGGCCTGCTGCACAATCTTGAGCTGCTCTGTACAAGCCGATTCGCCGCTTGGGACTCCGCAAAGGCCGGCTGGGCTCGGCTCACATAGCGCTGCAGCACTGGCTTTCAGACGACATTGCCTCCCGTTCGGCGAAGTCAGGCGATGGATAGGAAACACCCAACATCATACTCGCATTACCTTTGAGGCGACCATGAGAGGAGGCCACATCACCAAGAACACCTCTCCTGTCGGCCCTGTCGGCCTCGATCTCCCTCAAGCGGCGCAGGATCTCCGCAGGATGAGGCCGCTCCTCCGGCTTCTCATGCCAGGCCTCTGACTCTTCAACTCTTGACCGAGGCACTATCTTCGCGAATGCAAGCGCCTGTCGCAGAAGACCACGAAACCGACTGTCCTTCACTGCCTTGGTGCATGCACGTAGCGGCAACCATATTCTCTTTGAGGCCCATGGCCTATGCTAGCCCGCCAGATCCTGCCGGAATGTGTGCATCGACTCAGCTAGTGGCTTGGAGACTGGGTCGCGGCACGCGGCCCTCCTTGAAAGCCTCCGAAGTGGCTTGAGCACACTGCGAAGAATTCTCTCAAGATCTCGTGCGGCCTGGATTATACATCTGGTAACCCACCAAAACACTGAGAGCCTCCATGACATGGTCTGACGGCTTATGCATGCCGTCATTGTCCAGGTGCTGGAAAGGCCGGATTCCTTCCGAGTCGAAAGCTGGTCCGCGAAACGGGAGGCTTCGGATAGCTCGTCTGCTTGGAAAGGAAGCCCTTTCAATTCTCTGCGACGCTGCACATCATAATGCATGTGTGATCCCACTCGCATGGCAGCGCTCCTGTGCACATGAGCCACAGCACGAGACCAAGTGCAAAGACGTCGGCTGCAATGCACTTCTCGACCTGTGAGTATGATGTGAGCATCGGGGAATCTCGAGAACCACCCTGCCCAAGCCTCATTGCATGGCTCCCCTGCAAGGACCTGTCCGCCAGTTCCACGGCTCTGCTCGGAATTCCAAGGAGGAGCGATGATGCCTCTGGCGCAGAGTAAAGGCAGCTCTCCAAACTGGGAGCGCCAATCTCTGCCTGGCGAGTCCGAGTACAGTGGCATGACAACGCCCCGAAGCACGGCACGCGGCTGCTCCGGGACGGCCTGATGTCTGTGGTCAATCGGCGCCAGTGCTCCTGGCATGTACCAAAGCAAAGCTTCAAGACTGAGACCAGGCGCGGACCAGGCGGTGCCCTCCAATTAAATGCAAGGGCGGAAGTGCAGCGGTTCGATTGATCGGTCCTGATGGGCTGAGGCGCAATGCCAGGCTGGTACCTGAGCTGGGGTTTCAGGAATTTGAGGTGTGCTTCTCGAGCAGTAGCTGTTCATGCGCAACTTGCTTTGTTGTTTCGGTGGCCTGGCCTTGTTCTGCGATTTCTAGTTGCCTCTAGCTTCGATCCTGGGAAGCCGCAGTCAATTTGTGCACCCGGCTCTCTTGATCTCCCTCCGATTGTGGTCTTGCAAAGGGCCTCAGCAAGCAAAACAATGATGAGCCAAGGCGACTATCCGTCAGCACGCCCTCTGAGGGCCCGGAAGGCCAGCCACTGATCTGAAAGAGCCCCAGTACTTGCAGGACATGTTCGAGAACGACGATGTGCCTGCAAGATCAGTGATGAGCAGCCGCCGCAACTGGCTCCGGTCAACCTTCTCATGGCTGGGAGCTAGTGGCGGCGGCTCCACAACACTGATCTTGCCATAGCTTGCCTGGGTTAACGGGCTGTTGGAGCGGCACATTGTCAGACTTCTCGAAGATATCCTGCAAGCACTCTTTCAGAGCAGTGGCTGGCCTCCCCAGGACCTCCAGCTCAATCTCAGCGCTGAGTTCCTGTGCACTTTCTTGAGACTCTGCTGATCCTGGTTGCAGAACCTCTACTGCCAATCTTCTTCGTTTCATCTCCTCATAGAAGTTGGCACCAACAGAAACAAGCGAAACATTTGAGCCTGTAGATGCCGCCTCGCACACACGGAGAGAACAGAGTGATCATGCACAATAAAATTTAAAACAACTACGGATAACTACGAGCTGCCCGGGTCGGGAGACCAGACAGGAACTGCTGTGCAGCCTGGTGACAAAGGAGAAGATTTGATGGTCTCAAGTTGCCATGCGCAATTGGGGGACTGAGCCCCGCAAGGAACGCCACAGCACCGGCAGCGCTGATGGACCAGCTAAGAAGTAAGGACCTCGCGAGCGGCATTGCATTTCTACGCCGTTCAGTGGTGCAGCAGCTTCCCTGAAGCATGCCTGGGTGGTGTCCAGGGTCGGTGCAGCTCTTGGCGCTTGCTCCTGACACACCGACGCTCCGCTTTGAAGCAATTGGAAAGACTCTCTTGGGGCCTCAAGAAGCGCTCCAAATCACCTCCTGACATGTATTCCATCACGAGGTACACCGGCTGCTCCGGCTCGTCCAAACAGGCCCCATAGAACTTCGCGAGGTAAGGACCTCAAAGTCTGAAAGAGGATGCAACAACAAGGAGAGCTTGAGCTTCGGCTTCGACGGTTCTGGATGGCTTTTGGGGTGCAGGCATTCGACTTGCGAAAGCTCTCGAAGCAAACGGCGCAGCTTCTCCTGCTGTCTCAACATGTTCGAAGTCCATATCTGGGACCTGGTCGGCTAGTCGGCTGTCCTCCGGGTTGGCTTGGCCGGCACCGCAGCGCTTCAACAGCAGTGACCGCTCCTTACAGGTTCGCACCATCAGCGCTGGCATCTGCGTTGCACGAACAACACGACGCAGATTTCAGCCCAAAGTATTGTAACGAACGCCGTGCTCCTGGCTCTGATGCCAAAACTGGACGACTCTTTGTCTTCGTCGTGTGGATATGTAGCGCTGCATGCGCTGTTCGGCGCGCAGGCTCATGTCCTACAGCCGGCGCCGGGCAGGCATCTCAGCACCGGCCCGCTGAGGACTGACCGCCACCGAAACCCCTATGGTCTATAGGGTGGCGAGGGTGGGGTGGGTTAAAAAGTTTAGACGTCGAAGACACGTCGAGCCAGAGTGCTGAAGGCAGCTACGCCGCTCGTGATTGCTACTGCGCACACAAGTGTGCTACACAACAATCGCCGCACTCCCGGCTCTGACGCCAAATCAGGACGACTCTTTTCTTCGTCGTGTGGATATGCAGCGCTGCACGCGCCTGCAGCCGGCGCCGGGTGCACATCTCAGCACCACCCGGCGCACCCAGCCCCACCAGGCGCCGGCTCAGCAAACGAGGAGGTAGAACAGGACACCAGGTCGAGCGCCGCTTCGTCCACAGCGTAGAGAGGTCGTCCACGGACTTGACCAGGATGTGCATGATCTCGGAGGCCGGGGTCCAGACCCTCCAGCCCTCGCGTCGGGCACAAGCAAAGTCGTCACGGGAGACCGCGTCGACCACTTTGGCTTTGGACGGTACCCGCCGACAGTCCACCATGATGCCAGCATGCCATTCATCGCCGGGTCTTTGCCATATATCATGCCATATCCCTTGGTCAACGCCGCTTGACCCGCGGTGTTGTCGATGAAGGCCGTGAGGACGCTGGGCAGGTGGGCGGAGATTGCGCAGATGGCCACCAGTTGCGCAAAGACCTCGAGCATTTAGATGAATGCGCGCCCGGACTCGAACTTCTTCAGGAACCATGTGGTGGTACCTGGGGCGCCGGGGCGCCGCCGCCCTTCGGCGGCGAACGTATCAAGGCATCAAGCGACGCCGTGTGTTTGCATCGGTCGTCGGTGCGTTTCTTCCACCCCGGTCCCGGGCGTAGCGCGCCGGTCATGTGGAACCCGTTGGTCATGTCTGCGTGCCATGTCGTGGCGCCACCGCAGTCGCCTTCCTCCTACGCCGGTTCCAGGCGCGGTGGGCGAGCGGGTGTGGGACAGTCGGAGGAATCCGAGGTTGAGCGGCCGCCGGCCACCAGCAAGATCAGGAGCCGCCGCCACATGGGCGATGGATGACATGCTCGTTCCATGCGCCGTTTCCACATCGCGTCGGCCCAGTAGCTCTGCACGGCCGGGGGCCGGGATGGACCCCTGTATGGAACGGGCCTTCTCCACGAACCAGTTCCAAACACCGCTCCCACAAACCGCGCCGCCTCGATGGAGGACAGAACCGACGCTTTGGCGGAGGATGTTCAGAAGTTCAGACCTTCACACCGTTGGTGGCCGGCACAGCTGGAAAGATGGCTGGCCGGCGACTTGGGGACATTCGCAGGAGCCTGATGACATCGACGTGGAGGAGCAGACCAGGCAGGGCATTGCACCTGGTGGGGTGGCCCATGGCTCCGATGCCCTCCCGGCCCCCGACGCCCAAGTCAAGCCCAGGAACTGACACACCGGCGGACGTTTTTGTCCAGCCGACCACTATAAGGCGAAAGCCACGGCACTCCTGGCATCCAGCAAACCTATTTGAGTCGGCGGTGGCTATGTCCATGTCGGCGTCCGGTATGGCCACCCCTGCCCGATCCGTCTCGGGACGGCGGCCGCCCAATCCCGACAAGGGAGCAGACGACGACACCGACGCAAGCGTGCGACGCCTCCGGCGGATGTGGCCGGCGTCAGGATCACTGTTCGCCACAGCAGGGAAGGGCGGAGCTTTTCGGCTGGTGCGCTGCCAGCACCCGACCGCTGCTCGACCTGCGAGGGTCTGCAAGGCCAGGGCCGGCGCTGATGAGGAGGAGGAACTTCATTCAACGACGACCCATTTTGGGGGACAGCTTTGGCGCCCACAGCGGTCCAGAATGACATCTGAATCTATACATCTTTCCCGTCGACACCTTCGGCCAGACTGCTTTTTCTTTTCCTTTGCGCCAGCCCTAAAGGCGTACTCCATGAGCAGCGTCTTCGACGCAACAAGCCCGAAGTCTGCAGCCGAGGGTTGTGTATTGTCGGCGTCGTGTGGTCTTGCGTGTGTGCTTCCTCTCGCCTTTTCCCGCAGCCATTTTGCTCGAACGACGACGTCCTCCTCCTCCACCGGCCCTAAGGCCTTGAAGCTCATCGACGAGAACCTGGTGCCATGATCAGAGGCAAGCGCCGAATGAAGGGCTAGAGAGAAACGCTTAGACGTCGAAGACATCGAGCCAGAGTGCTGAAGGCAGCTACGCCGTTCGCCATTGCAACTGCGCACACAAGTGTGCTACACGACATGTCCTCGAAGGTTCACATACTTTCTGTTGAGGCTCAACTTGCTTCGCCACAACAGGTATATTTGCCCAAAAGCCGAAGTACGAGGGGCTGCGTCCTCAGTCTCCCGAGATGCCGACAGCACCCAGTAGAACAAATGAAAACACAGAATCAGCTGGAATCTGACGTCCGACATACCTCGCCTCCGCCCTGCCAGGCTCCTCGATCTGCCGCATCAATGCGAGCTGAGATGGAGACTTCGCCTCACAACAGGGCGAAGTGAAGCTATGGCAGGGCAGCGCAGCTCTCTCCACTCTTCTGCTGGCGCCTCTTGCGATCTGCCAAGGCTCGCGGCTTTGACGGCCGTGTGCAGACTCGCGTGCGGACTTGGGCGCTTCCGAGGGGGCTCTCGGCGTGACGTCCGCAGCCAGCGCTGCGCGCTGAAGAGCAGGAAGCACCTGAATCGGGCTAGAGGGGTGCTAGGTCTTAGGTACAGGCGCCTGCCTCAACGCCTACTGAATATGCTTGGATCCAACGTCAAGCCATGGCTTGCTTGCTAATGCTGAGACGCAACGGACGTTCTGTCCCAAAGAACCACCAATGTCCGGGGAGCCTCCAGGTCATTGCTCCTTCCGCCCGAGCCGGCAACCTGCTCGCGACGTCACGCGACGAGAACTGCCAACCACTCCTCGAGCCCGGCCAGCAACGGCAATGGCGCCAGCAAAGGGGCTCCGCGATGCGCGTGGGGGTGCTGACGAAGTCGCAGCCTCCAACATGGCAAAGCCAAACAACTTTGGCAAATGCAATGAATGCAATAAATGGACATTGGGAGTGCACTAATTGCGGCTCAAAGGGCAACTCCTTCAGCATGGAACTCGGGAAAGTAGGATCGAGGCAGCTCCCTGTCAGGGAGTAAGAGCATGGAGTGACAGTGAGGAATTGTGAGGACATGCTTAGTTGCTGAATTCAGAAACGTACAGACTTTCAGTTTCATGGCGGATTGTGTTGTCCCAAAAGGTGTAATGTATACTCATCCGTCTACTAAGCATAAAAGTGCCAGCTCAAGCTGAATGCCTATCAGCGTCGGCAGGTGCAGCTGCTCCAGACGAGACTGCAATGCAGTCACTTCCTCCTAGACAACAGAGCGGCCGGTCGTTGCTTCATAACAAATCGTAGTATGCTGCGCCTGCGGTACGAGGTCCTTCTTCATGCCAACAAACAGAAAAGGAGCCTTGTCGCCATTCAGCCCGACCCACGGACCGGTCGGCGCACATCAAGATTCAGCGATTCAGCACCAACTATACTTACGCTTTTGTTCATGGTTTGCAAGAAGGAGCAATAGCAGTGCCTGAGGTCCACAGTGGTATCGCGCCACGTGCAGCCAGTGAAGGAGCACCTCATCGACCGTCTCCTTCCTGTCCGGGTCGTGTTGAGCACGCTGCAGCTTGTATCTATGGCGCGAAGTTCAATGACCTCTTCCGATCAGAGAGCCCGGTCCTGGTGCAGTCCACCACAAACAATACGCCGTCAGGGCCGTTCGCGAAATGAGACCTGAGAAAAACGCTTCCAACATGTTGAGTGGCCGGAAGGTCTCATAAGCAGTGGCGAGGCGGAGAAACCCACAAGCATCGTGATTTGGGGTTTTGTTTACGCAGCATTTCGAACTCAATGATCCTGCCTCTCATGAACCCGCTCCCGCTGTTCCAACATGCTTTCATGCAGGCGTCGCAGACCAGGATGTGCTATGCTCACGTTCTGCCGCCACGCCGCTCCGCGTCAAGAACCAGCTCCCAGATAGGCGCCTGCCACAACGCTCGGTTCGACAACACAACCAAGAGAGGGGAGAGCTTCATGTATGTAGCAAGCCTCGCTTTGGAGGTTGTCCACTACGTGAGGACTCAAGCAAACTGCTCGGTGCCTGCCTCCCGGAATTCCACCTGCATCGCTGTAGCATCATCAGAAACCACGGCTCTGTGGCACCTGCAGGTGATGAGCTGCTAGCATGGCGAAAGCTTGGGTCACCGAGCACGAAGTCAAAGGCCGACAGCCTGACTGTCAATGTGGGAACTTCCTGCGGTTCCTCTGCTGCCTCCTTCGCTCGCGAAAAGGAGGCCCGGCATGGTACGAGTCTATGGACAAGTTGGCCGTCTCCTGCGGCGTCAAGCCTGCACGTCGAGCCAGCGATGTCTTGCCTGTGCCTTGCAGTCCGGCACTCCTTGCTTTCGGCTCTATGTCATGAACTCAGCCGATGTGTGATATCCAGGCCTGTGCATCCCACCATCGCAATGCTGAGCGAGTTCGGCATGGCTCAAACAGCGGCTGTGGAACATTTGTCGTTCACCACCACACGGGCTGCGTGGTATGTCAAAAGCAGGTATGTACCAGGTCTTAACTGCTGTCCACTTGCTTGCATTTTGCAGACTTGCTTTGCAGTATTGTTTCGGTGTGTTGGATTGATACCGGGTTCCGAGCCCAGACAGCTTTGAACACGCACGGCATCAACGGGATGAAGAAGAACTATAGCCGAATTCGAGCAGTGGCAAGGGCATGGTCATAGGTCGGCAACAGAGCAATCAGCAACAGAGCAAATCACGAGCATCGCTACAGATTCTGACGTGCTAATGCTGGCCTCTTCCCTAAAAGTAGGCGCGCCATCGCAGCATGCTGCACAACGCCGACGCCAGCACGAGCGATACCTAGGCTAGCAGAGCTTGAAGAGCAGTGATCCGGCGAGGCAACCAAGATCTGGGCTAAAAATCACGAGGCCGCAGGCCAGCACCATCTCGGTCCTCGGCCGGGCACAGCGTCTGCCTCTGGCAACCCCCTCGCCTTCAAACCGACTATGTTGCAAGAACCGAAGTCTGCGCATCAAGGTGCAGATGCGGTGCAGCATTGGCCGCCTGAGGTTGTTGCAAAATGCCCGTGAAGCAATCCAGTACATACGTGCTTCTTTCAATAGTGGTGCAGGTTGAGTCGAGCACGCAGTCCGGACTCTGATCTCGGTTGCTGCCGAGCAGCCCACAACTCTAACCCGGCCACGAGCACCAGCTGCCCGAGAAAATCGCCCAACGGGACGAGGACTTGGACCAGGCCTGGAAAGCTTACTAACGCCAGGTGACCACGCCCGTTCACGTAAATCCTTTCTTCCTCCGTTCTACATTCCCGTCTTCTTCACCGGCATTGACTGCCGTCGCCTATAGAAGCCTGATAAAGTCCAAAGTGGATGCAGTGTGCCGGAAACAAGGCAACAATCAAAGGGCGGGGGCGTCACACTGATTCGAAGAAATTGAAAGGGGGTGCGGTGCGTACGACAGCTCGCCCTGGCAAACGGTTTGAACTGACCGGCTTCTCGTCAGCCAGGGGCAACGAAATACTGAGATGAAGGCAGCACGGGAAGGCACAGGTCGGATTTTGCGAGAAGGGGCATTGCGCTTTGGAGCATGCAGGCTGGAGCCAATTCATGGGGTGGGTCGGGTGGGTGCTCAATCTTCAATCGCTTCACCTGATCAGATCGCAGCCTCTTCCCGTTGCCTGCCCCTCTTCACGACTGTGACAACCACCTTCCGTTCCTCTTACTCCCACCACCCCTTCCAAGCCATAAACAAAAAGACAGCACTGGAAAGGGAAAGGAATCGGCGGCTGGAGAGTTTGCGACACCGCTATGCAAAACCAACAAGCCTCATTCGGGTGTTGCTGTGCTCCTTCACATCACTCAGTTCGTTCAGCCTCTCGTTCTGGGGGGGGGAAGCAGCTGATGGCCCTCCAAGCACCCATGACCACATGTATGAACATCAAGTTTGCCTTTCAATTGTCCTACTCAGCCGTTTCCGGTGACAGCATGACTCTGCACAGCATTGCCGCAAGGCACGTTCGGACCAAGTGTAGGCCATTCCCCACAAGACCTGTCCGCAGCATCAAGAGTCAGGGGCAGGTCCCACAGGCTCAGACTCATGACCCCTGAACCACCGAAATAATCTAGACAGCCCCTGAAGCATCAAGGCGCTGGTGCAACGATTGCGCCCAGCTGTGGGGAGGCAGCGATCATCGAGTACCTGAGCTGCACAGAAACCTCTTAGCCTGATGAGCACAATTCCTCCAGCTTAAACCCACCTTATGCATCTGGCAAACGTGACAGAAGGGTTCGCTTTATTCACCCGGCCGTACCCGAACGAAACCGTTCTTCGAAAGAGACGGGAACCAAAGTTTCCAAGCAACAAGAAGCCGACTTCAGATGGTAACCCCAGACATGCACGTGCAAACACCGAATGCACCAGTCAGCGAGTCCTGAACACGATGTTTCAACTGGGGCACAGCAGCGCCGACATTCCCTGCAGATGCGGCGAAGCTTCATCGTTTGGAGTCTAGGCACAAAGCTCCGAAAACCAGTCAGCTCCAACCTGAATCCTAGGTCCTAAACCTAAAACCTGCCACCTGAGTTCGCTGAGCCGTCCTTCAACCGAGAAAAGCAAGGAGGGAAACCAATCTCGCCTCCGCTTCCAGAAGCGGTGCTGCAGGGGCCAGTGCATTCTTGCTGCTGTGGGCACCTCAATTCAACTCGTTGTGATGTCGAGCACTTCTAGTGCCAATGATGTTGTGCCACGGCGGAGGGCCGTCGACATTGCACTTCACGAATGTATCCAACTATCTGCCGCTGCGGGTGAGACATCTAACCGCTAGAAGCCATCAAGTCTCAATGAGAAAACTGGTACGGTACAGCACATGACAGGCACACTTGATGTCAAGTAAACGATGGTCAAGGTTCCAAGACCGATGAAGAGTACCAGCACGACGCAAAGTCCGGATGAAACGCCTGCATGACAACTTGAGAACAAAAAAACATCGATAGATGTTTGGTTTTGGGCCAGCCTCCAGTCCAGCTGGGTGATGACGGATGTCGCTCTCCCGCATCGGAATCGACATCCCAGAATCGCATAGATGCGCAGTTTCAGCACGCGACAGCGCTCTCTCTAACAAGGCCTGTGTGCTGGGATTGACTGCAGGACTTTGGCAGCTCTTGCCTCACACAGGCTGTCGGCCGTTGTCTTTGTCACGGTTGTGGACAGCTTGGAATGTCTCTCTCTGAGAAGCTGCGTGAGCCGACAATCCAGGTCACATTGGGCAGCGACTTCAAAAATATGCTAGCCGGCTACCCGCCGTCACGACGCAAAAAGCTCAATTGAACGACGGCAATCCTCGTGCAGGATTTGCCATTGTAAAGACCGAGTCTGGAGCTTTCCGTCGCAGAGGCGAAAGCCCGCACAACTCCTTTGACTCAGCCGGGAGGCATGAAGCCAGGAGAAAATGCGGCACTGGTTCTTAACATATCCCAAACTACTGCCAAACTGCTCAAACCCGGCAAGCACTCTCTCTATCCTTCAAAGCAGACAAGACCTCCTCGTCACTGTCCACCTTCAATGGAGACTGGCCGACGGCCGACAAACTTGAAACACTTGTCCATGTGCACCTCCTGCAAAACCAGGCCTTGTGATGCAGTGACAGGTCGAGGAAGACCAAGGCTACAGAGGGCAACCGGGCAGCATCCAGCCTGGAAACTGTATGCAAAGCCAAACTGCCAAGCTTTTGGAGGGAACGGAATGCTAGAAGACGAAGCCGGACAGGTGGCACTGTGGCACAGCTCAAGCGGTGTGACAAACATAGATTGCCTACAGAAGGAACACTTGGATTGGCATGCACAGTTCCCTGTCCTTGCGCTTGATACACTGCTTCGTGCTCACTGTGCAAAACCATGGGCGCACCCGAGCCGACGTAACAGTGCCGACGGAGATGGAACGTCGCTGCTTGATGACCTGCTTAGACTTGGAGTTGTTTTTCCCCGCGAAACTTCGCAGTCTTGGATCTTGAGAAGAGAGATTTGAGCGACAGACCTGGGAGCGCGTGTCGCAGGCCCAGAGGCCGCTGCCCCTCGCAAGCTCTCTGCAACTTGCTGTACGACTGTTCGCGACAAGATTGGAAATCCAGCCTCGCTCCAGAGTTTGGGTCCTTTCCACGATCATACGGTCGAGCTCCTGTCAGACGCAGGGGAGGTCTCGGCAATCGACTCAAAGCCATCCGGCCTCGCGAAACTGAGCAAGCGCTGCATGTGGAGACCTCGTGTGCCGACTCCCGACGGCTCCACGACTCGTTGGAGCACTGCGGCACCGACCCTCACTCAGGCTGGGTAGCCAGCGCGGAGTCGTAACGCATCGTCAGGAGGTCTCTGGCCTCACGTGGGCACTGATTGTACGAATCTAGGAACACCAGTTGCACACCTCAGCATCTGCCATCAGCATCTCCCACTGGCGCTCCAGGTCGGCCTGTCGCGATGTACAGTGAGCGTGTCGCGGCCGCCAGAGCACAGTCAGCCTTGATTTGTGGGAGCTTCGATGCCCGGAACTGCGCCCAGCTGACGCGGCAGGAGGCCTCCCGGGCCCGGCTTTTGGATCGACGCGAAGCGGCAGCCGGGCAGGGCCTGGCGTCTCTTCGGGGCCTTGCCAGCTGGCGCGAGTGGCGCTAGCTGGCCGGCTGGAGTCGCCGGCGTCTCGGCGTTGCTCGAAGATCCTGGCCATCACGATCGCACAGACTCAGGGTTGCTCAGTTTCTTGGTGTATCGAACATTAGTGCAACCAGAGATCCAGGTACCAAGGACTGCTCTTCTGTCTTCATGGCACTGATGAAGTCGGTTTCTGTTGCGCAGCTCGGCATCCGATCGGAGCACTGCCTCCGGTGGTAGGTCTGCTGCTCCACAACTCAGAAGCCCGGTGAATGAAGAACCGAACTGCAAGCTGCCAAACTCAGAAAGCTGACCTCCCACCTTGAAGAGCAAACCAGGTGTGGACAGAGCTTGAGGCACAGTCAAGTGATTAAGAATGAGAGCGAGCCAGACTGTATCACTGATCCAAAGCTGTAGTCGACATAATTCTGCCAGCTGCTGGACTGCCCTGAAAGGATCAACTCCATTGACTGCGAGATGCTGTGTCCACTCCCTTGGCGGTGCTTGAGTCAGTGCAGGCATGAAACATTGCGCTTACTCAAACGATTAGCTGGATTCATCGTGCTGGGGAGTACAAACGCGGCTTTCTCTGCAGTTTTTCCCACTATAATTGCCTGAGATTGCCTGAGAGATGCTCCTGGGGAGTGATGGGCACTTCTCTGATAGAACATGGCACAAGCTCCAAGACCTTCAGATCGTTCGATGGACGGCCTGGAGAATTCATGCCAAGTTCGAACTCTGCTTGGCAGATCCGAGTCGAATTAGTGTCCGCCAGCAACCATAGCGAGCAATATGTAATTGACAAGGCGGTGTTGTTCAGTCGGTAGCCACAGACACAGAAGAATGAGAAGAATGAGAAGAGAGAGAGAGAGAGGCAGATGCACACAAGCTCCACGGTACGAGGTGTGCAAGCTGCAATGGAGCATGCTGAGGAATTCGAAACGAGGAAGGATCAGCGGTTTTCTGCTAGGCTGATTGAGATCGTGGACGGCTGAACTTGGGCCTTTGGCCAGGAATCTCCGTGTGGTACGGAAGTCGAATGAGTCCCAGATCCTCTGTGCCTGGGGGCGACGGCGATAACAGCTCCGATCCTTTTTTACGAGATTTACTGGTCTGCCATTGTCTGAGGCACGTGCTCTCCTTCTCGAACTCTGATTCCAGCTGCGCAAGTTCATATTCCAACTCATCGAAATCATCTCCTGCCATACACACGAGGCGTAGAGACAGGCAGCGTCCGCAAACTTACAGAAGCCTGAAAGGGCGGCAACCAAAGCCACAAACTTGGGAATCTCTTGGACTCGGGAACCGCGACGCCTACACGAGCCATCCTAGGGCCACGCCCTTTAAGACTAAAGATATCTAAAGATTCACGGACAGCCACAAGCTCCATGAATTCCTCATCAGGATGCAGGATGGAATTGTTTGAGGATTCCAATTTCGCATTGCTGTCGTCCGTGACCATTCGCACTTGACATAAAGATGAGAACACTCAGCTGCGGATTCTCGGAACTGGGATGACGTGAGTCAAGCTGGATGATCAGCATTGCACTATTGGTGGCTACCTACGAAGCTGGCCAAGATTTCCACGACAACAACGGTTGCTAGCTGCTAGCAGGCGCCATCAATCCAACCCCGCCTGCACAGACCTCTGCCTTCTCCTGAAGTTTCACCGCCTCCTCCTGCAAATATGGAGTGGCAAGCAGAGTCGGACAAACCGGATCAAAAATTGTCCTTTGCCTTAGCTGCTTGGAGATCGACGTTCGCCTGCCCGAGCTGATCCTGCATTCTATGAGAAGGCGTACGGCTGCATCAGTGCCGAAGACCCTGGCTGCAGCCTGCAGATCCTGCATTTTGCCATGAAGAGCTTCCAACTCCTTTCCAAGCAAAAAGCTTAGCAGATGCTGCATATCTAACTGTCATGACGACAGTATGCGCCTGATTGAAGTTTGACTTGAGGTCCCCCTCGGCAGCTTTGGCTTCCTCCGACGGAGATCGCAAGCGTGAAGACCAGGCGCCGTTCCGCAAGGCCCGCCTCGACCTTCTGCAGTAGCTGGCGACGCTCCCGCTCACGTGCCTCCTCAGCCGGTCGCTCGGACCGGAAGGCCTCCACTGCCTACAGCGATGCGCAGGCCAGAACTGCTTTTGTGGGGAAGCCTTCTTTTGGCAGCCTCTGCCTTCTAAACTTAGGTAGGGTTTTGAGGGCTTGGCGGGATACAGGCTTTCTCACTTGCAAAAATATTCTCATGGTCGTTTTGGGAAGTGCAACAGTCGCCGGCCTGCTTCAATGCGATGTTTGGCTGCAGTGTGCGGCTGGTCAACGGAAGCTGCGTCATGGGAGCGAGAAGTGTTGGCGGCATCTTCCTGGTGCTAAGGTGCACGGCATTTCTGGCGTCTCCACTTCTACACTGATTCTACACGTGATGGGATGGGATACCGTCCAAACAAATGCATGCACCCCCGTCCTGCTGTGAGGCGCAATGTTTGCCGGCACTTCGTAGAATTCGCGAACCCTGCACTTGCTGCAACAACTTGGCAAAGCTGCTTGCTGGGATGGTAACACAAGTCACAAGACTCGCCCAATGACTGCTTGGGCCCGCCTGGAATCATGAGCCCCGAACCAACCCAAGATGCATCCACGACAGTATGAGTGACCATCTTCGGTGAAGACGGGATCCTTGCTCATAACATACACGAGCAGGACACAGAGCACCATCTCATGATACTCGACAGCAATCGTCCTTGAAAGGGTCCCTGCAAATCACGCACAGCAAGCCGTGTGGGATCGGCAGCCTGGGTGCAAGCATGATGAGCATCTGCAAAGGATGCATGGAAACACGTGCTGCCCACTTCGTTCCAGCGCGCGAGATCGCCGACATCTTGAATCTTGATCCGATCTCATAGTGTTAAAGATGCAAACCATCTTCGCTAGGTCTGCGCGCAAGTCTTCGTCGATAGAAAGCGTCTTTTCTTTCGCCTCCATGCCCGCAAATTCAAGCTCAAAAGCGGCATGTCTATGATGGCTCTTGCAGCAAAGGTTTGGCTGTTGGTAACTCGGACCGCAAGTTGCCGACAGGAGATGGCCTTGGGTTTTGGCTTCGCCTTCTTTTTCGCTCGACTTGCCTGCTACAAAGCTATCACACGGGCATGACACTCGTAGTTCTTAATAACTCGAGAATGTCTTGCAAAAACACATTTTGGTTGCCGCAGCTCCCAGCCTCTGCAGTGGAAGACGACGCTTGCACACCCAACGCAGGAGCGGATCTAGCTGTGCCCAGATCTCGGTTGGAGCGCACAGCCTCCAAAGCTTATACATGTCCCGCACTAAACCATAGCATGCATTGCCGTCTGTTTGACTGTTCTTCTTGGTTTAATTTGGCATGCTTGCCAGATGAAGCCTGCGCTTCTGTTGGTGCTCGGCCGTTCACGGAGGGAGCCGCCCTGCTTGCAGAAGGCCGGGCCTGCAAAATACGAAACTCATGCACAGCATAAGCAGCTATCGATTGCAAACATGAAGCACGAACCTGCGCTGGATATCCATTCCGACGAACACTGGAAGACGAGCTCATGGACAAAATGAATGACAGTCTAGATGCATGCATTGATTATTAGAACGAAAACCCGGCATGCAAGTTAAGCCGGTTAAGCGATCTAGAGCTGCGAAGGAATCAACTCTTTTCAACTGGACTTGTCGCTGCGCATGCAAGTCTTGGACTTTCAACGGCAAACTACTACCGACGGTGGGCCGAAACGATCAGAACAAGGGGCACACCCATATCGACTGGATATCACAACAAGAGAAAACACGTGACATTTCTCGACATCTTACCGGTAGCCAGCTTGTCCACAGAGCCTAGGAATTCGAATGCTTAAGAGCTTACAGCTGTAGCGGCTAAAGCTATTGAGCTCGCATGATTCGATCACCCCAGCAGGTAAAGTCAGCACGCCAAACGACTCCTACACCGGCTGCTGCGGAAAGCCACAACTCGGCCAAAACTCACGTTACAGTCGGAATCGCCCGAGCACGTTGAGCAAAATGACAGCAAGCGACGCTCGCAATCTTTTCAGTGAGATTTCGTTGAGATGCTCCGGTCAAGTGTGGTCGAGTCAGTGTGCTCATTTCAGACAAGAACGGCTGGTAGTATGTATATACATATATATATATATGTCTTTCTAGATACAGATGTGATTATGAATACATGTACACTTTAAATGTATGCATGATATGCGTGCGAAACAAAGTAGGCATGCATAACATCGCAGATCATGACGTTTGTCATTGTCACACTGTCACACCTTGTTTGTCTTCCCTCATTCGCTCCTTATTTTGCTTTCTTTGCTTTATTTTCCCTGCTTTGCTCTTATTTTCCCCTATTTGCCATTTTCTTCTTATTTGCCACTCCTAGCTTGTGCCGCTTAATTTCCGATTTGTCGCTTTGCCTTAATTTGCTTCTTGTTTTTTCTCAGCCCGATGTTTGGGTTTTCATTTTTCTTGCTTTGTTCTCGTGTCTTGTGTGCGCCTCTCACGAAAAACACCAGAGGTCCAGAAAAAGATCTCTCGGGTCGAAAAAAGATGCGGGGCCAGCTACAAAGTTTCGAAGCTACTTAAAATAAATGGAGGTTGAGAAAAAGATAGTGCTCTTTTTCTAGGTCTCGTTGCGGAGCTGAAAAAAAGCTAGAGGTTGAAAAAAAACACGGTTGAAAAAAGATAAACCAAGAAGAGTGGTGGCATCGCTCCAAATGTGGGCTGATAGTCTTGATCTAAACGGCACTTTGTTTTCTATGCGTTTCTGTCGTTCGACTTCCACACTGAAATTTTGCAAGCCGGGTGTAAGTGCTGAACGATCTGCAACAACACCATATTTCAACAGCCGATACCATGGAAGGACGACAAAGTCCAAAACCAGACGCTGGTTTTCTGCCAAACGTTTTTCACACTTACGGTCTCTAAAATCCTGCAAAGTAAGAAGAACTTGCAAAAACTACGCAAAGCACATGTCTTGAGTGCTTTGGATAATTGGAAGAGTTACCTTCCAGGCAGTGCCGAAATCGTAATAAAATCTGCATTCACCATGCTGTTGCCAGTTTCTGACCCATTTTGCTTGAACCAGCAAGAACAGCGTACACTTCGTGGACTTAGCCAAACGTCTCCAAAAATCGAACTGAAAAGCGGTGTAGCAAGCGGGACACTTGGAAGTCCCTCTGCAATGTTTCAATGCCTGCTCGCCATGAACATGTGAAAACAATATGCAAACCTGTTCAATGCTGTGCTACACCAACTAAACCATGCCTTTGCAGATGCTTTGCGCTCTGAAACTCGTTCCATCAATTTTTCTTGCACTTTCGCACACTGCCTTGAGATCTTCTAAACATACTATAATGTGCCGAATCGACCATTCACACGAACTTTCTCAATTTAGGAAGAGACGAATCGACCATTCACACGAACTTTCTCAATTTAGGAAGAGACCAATAATAGAGAAAGAAAGCCCGTGGAGCTATTTATTGATTGGCGAAAAAACGCTCAACTTCGCTCCAAAACGGCCTCTTCGTGCACGACGCAAAAGCAGGAGTGTTTTTTGGAGAGGCGAAAAATGGCTCAACTTCGCACGAGGCAAAACAGGAAACTTTTTTTGGAGGCGAAAAATGGCTCAACTTCGCTCCAAAACGTCGCGTTTGTTGACGCAAACCTAGAAAGCTTTGATTTCATTAATGCTTCAAATTTGCTTCAAAACCGAGCGGTTCCCGGAATCAAACCGGGCGATTCCCGGAATGAAACCGGGCAGCAACCGGAACGAAACCGGGTAGCACCCGGAATGGGCTCGGTGTGATCGG